AAGGCGCCCGTGCAGCCATGACGCTCGGCCGCGCCGGCGCCCGCGGCGGCGCCCCCGGCCCTCCACGCCGCCAGCCCCGGGCCCCGGGCCCCGGGGCCGAGGCCAGAGCCCGCTCTGGAGCCCCGCCCGCCAGTCCTCCCCTCGCCGGAGCCCAGCATCGCGCCAGCCATGTTAGCGGCGGCGGCGGCGGTGGCCGCCAGCGGGCAGGCGACGAGCGGGGGGCGGCCGGCCCGCGCACCCCCGGGCCGCCGGGCGCTCCCGCGACGGCCATGTTAATGCAGAAGCAGCAGTGCAGCCCGCGGGCCCGCGCGGCGCCCGGCCGAGCCCGGGAGCGAAGTTTGCCCGCGCCGCAGCCCCCGGCGGGCACCGGCCGCCCGTCCCCCGCCGAGTCCGTCCCGGGCCGGGGAGCACCCGGCCCCCTTCCCAGTGCCGCCGCCCCGCGCCGGGACGCGCGCCGCCCCAGCCCGCAGCCGCCCCTGGGCTCGCGCCGCCGCCGCAGCTGCCCCAACATCTGGCCTCTGGGGTCCTCGGTCCCTAGGCCGCTGCCCTGGGGGGCGGGGGCAGGGCGGCGGCCGAGGGCGGCTCCCCGAAGGGGGGCTCAGCCCCGACTGCGGGGAGCTGAGGATGAAGCATTGAAAAGTTGAAACACCTGAATTGCTTCTTCCTTCCCCGCCACCTAGCAAGAAGGAAGGAGAAGGGGCGGGAAGGGCGCGAGGACGACAGGCAGGGGGAGGCGGCGGCGGGGTGCGCTCGCGGCGGCGCGGGCCGGAAAGTTGTGCGGGCTCTGCGGCGGCGGCGGCGGCGACGGCAGCGACGGCGGCGGCGGGCGCGGGCGGTGCGAAACGTACCTGTATTGTTCGCTAGTCTGGGCAGCGCAGGGCACGACGCGCGGCTCAGCGCTCCCCAGCCTCGCGCTAGCTGCCTCCACGAGAGCCGCCTGATTGGCCAGCGGGCTCCGCCGTTTAAAACAGCCTCCTCGCCCGGCCATTGGCCGCGGGCCTCATGCATATTAAACAGGCGCGGGCGCCCATTGGGCGCGACCGCTGGGATCATTCATTCAAACAGAACAACCCGCCGGCGCTGGCTGCTGAGGCAAAACAGAGGAATAATAATATTCTCGCTTTTCCACACCGCCCCCCGCCACCCCTTTGAACCGAGCTGGGATCTCAAAGGACTTTGGAGGGGTGGCCCCGCCATTCCCGGAGGCCTCGGCCTCTGGCGTGGGAAGACGAGGTCGAGTCCGGCTGCTCCAGCCTCTGCTCCCGCCCCGCTGCGGCCTGGGCGCCTCTAGCCCGGTCCCCTGACCCCCAGGCAGCCCCTCAGCCCCGGAAAACCTCCAGGGACCGAGCGGCAAGGGTCGACGGTCCTCCACCTGTACCCAGTTTCGACACGGCTCCGCGGCGGGGACCCTGCCTCAGTTCGCTGGCTCCTCATTGCGGGTGGAAGACAGCAGCTCGCTCGCCAACACCTCGGGATATAGGCGCTAGGGCCATGCTGCCCCTCCCGAAGGGGACCGGACTGCGCTCCTACGGATCGCGCTCGGCTAGGCTCTCTGCACTAACTGCCAGAAAGTCGATTTGTGCCTGCATTCGCGGAAAGGGCGAGCTAGGTGGGCTAGAGGAGGAAAACGGAGTTTGGCAAAAGCAGAGAAATTGTGAGACATTGTAGTTTTGTGGGCAGGGACCCCCTCTCAACTGCCTCAGTTCAGGCCCACATTCCCTCTGCTCTTCTGATAACACACCCTGGTGAAGAATAAAAGTTGTTGGAATAAATGAATGGACTTTCACTTGGCCTTGGCTTTGCCACTAGCTGGTGATATGGCCTCCAGCAAGTCACTTCTTTGCGGGGGGAGGGGTCAGGCAATGGTTTTCAAAATGCAAGGGGTGTTTGGAAGTGCCCCATGACTGGGAGTCCTTGCTGGAATTTTATAAGAGAAGGGGATGGCCAGTGATGCTAAATGTTCTGCACTGCACATGACAGTCACACACAAGAAAGTCATTTCCCACTCCGAAAGCTAGTATCAGCCTTGTTGAGAAATATGAGGGCCCTTCCCTCTTTGAGGTACCACAAGCTTCCTGGAAAGAATGGAAGAAAAACGAAGGATGAGGAAAAGGAGCACATTTTAAGGGCTGAAGTTTGGAGAAAACAATGTAAGAGGAATCATGAGCTTTTCTATAGGAATTTCCCTTTCTAAAGCACTTGAGCCAAGATATCCAGCTATTTATAATTCACATATTTAGAAATGAGACCCACCAGAAGATGAGTGTTCTAAATGCCGTTTCCAGAAACTGTGTCTGAGTTTGAGGCGGGCAAGGGAGTTGACTTCGCAAGTCATGTTCCTTGCTACCCCCACCCAGCTCTTGCCAGCTCCTCTGAGCCCTCTGGGAAGGCCTGAGCCCTTGCATCTGGCACTGCTAGGCTTCCATCATTAGGGATCCAACTGAGACCAAAACACAAGGTAGGGCCACTTTTGACAAGAGCTGACAAGCAACAAGTCACTTCCCCAGGTCCCCAATTTAAAGACTCTCAGGAATGCAAATATCTTAAGGCCACCTGGTCCAATCCTTTGCCTTGTCTTGTTTGAGCTAGCTGAGTGGTTGCCTACCTTCTGCTTGTATATCTCCACTCCTGGGGAGCTTACCACCTCACTTTGGGGCTGTCTCTTCCATCTCAGGCAATCTCTGAGCCTTGGGGTCACCATCCTGCACATATCACAATTTCTTACCCTTCAGGGATTTCATGGCAGGCCAGGTGTCTTCTCCAGGCAAACGGCTCCAGGCTCTACCACGATGCGGTTCTCAGGGTCCAACCTGCCCAGACCACTCCCTCCTGCCCTGTCTCTGCCATTCCCAGAGGGGAGCAGGGCCTCCACATGTGATCTGACCACTGTCTCCCCTCCTCCAGAGTGCCCTAGCCTCTCAATGTCGTTAGGCCTTTCAAGGCCCGAGATGTGACTTGGGGTCTCAGGTGGGACAGGAGTCTCCTTCTGATCCAGCCACTGCCTGGTGTACTGGCCACATCGGGAAGCTGCACTTAGCAGCTGGCAGGTACCAAGGTGGGGGAACCAGAGTGGTCAGCCTTCAGAGCCCACAAGGCACTACCTGGGGGGCCCCTGGGTGGATAGTGAGGTTCACACTTATAAGCAGAGGCAACTCACAGACAGCACATGTATACACACTCCCACCAGGGCACACTGAGGGCATTCCCAAAGACAGCAGCCTGAAGGCCCCGTCTAAAAGAGACTGTACAGTAAGTGGTGCCCAGATACCACCCTCAAGACCCATTCTTTCCCACCCCCCTGCCACAGCCCTGCCCATTGGTCTCCTATTTCTGTGGACATACTTCGAATGATTAAGGGGTTCGTATTCTTCAAAGGAATGATTTCCATCTCTGGTCCTGAGAAAGTTCCTCCTTCTGTCAAGCCGAAGCGCTTGTCCAGAAGCTAACGCCTATGGACACTGTCATTAGAACTTCACAGAACATGATTATGACATGGCTGAGTGAGTCAGAGATCTGAAGATGGTTGCCATGGTTTCCTGCTCCTGCTGCCCCCCCAAAATGCACATATCACCCCAAGTCTCTATGTCCTACCTCAGCAGAAACTCATAATTCAGTTCCATGTTCAGAAGGGGGGTGAGGGGATGTGGGGGTGGGGCAGAGGCAAGGTCCTGGGTTTGGGGTCTGTCAGTGACTTTGGGTTTGCTTTTAGCTATGTCACCTCACCTCTCTCAGCCTCAGTGTCATCTCTCAAAGGTGATCTAGCCCACCTATCCACCCTAGCCACTGTGCAGTCTGCTTGTGAGCGAGGTGCCTGAAGGTGGTCTGCTTGTCATCACCACCTGGGAAGGGCTAAACAGCAATCTGGAAGTTGAAAAAAGTGACCAAAAGTCAGGGGTGCCCGGGCATGGCCTGGACTCAGGGGGCCGGAGGCAGCCTGCCTCCTCTGTCTGCAGCAAAGCCCAGGGCCACGTGACTTGTAGCTCCAACTGGTCAAG